CCGACTTCAAAGGGTTGGTTCTGTCCAGAAAATAGCCATGTCCATGTTACTGGCAATGCACTGATACGGAAAAGCTAACATCTACCATCGGTGACGTAGCATCAAAGTGTCCCGAGAAGGTAAAACTGCGAGAAATACATTCACCCTCATGCACACGAGCAAACACTTCTACCAATATTAACCGGATACTTTGGTTTTCAAGCCGTGGACACGGCCAACGCAAAACATATATCAACCTGAAGTTAGCATCCAGGTAACGTCGCTAGTCCTCCAGAAAGTAGACGACCCCATCTGGTCGCAGCTAGCAGCTAAACGATTCGGGTAGCAGGGCTAACGTTACCCGGTCTAAGGTCAGGGTTGGTGTGTCTTTAGGTATGTCTGTTGCGAGAAGTTCGAAGAGGACATGAATAAAACAGCTCACCTCACAAAAACAATATCGTCTCCTCATACATCAGCAAAATCCAAACAGCCACACAGCTTCCCCGAATGCTGATGGTCGCTTCATTTTATGTACCGGACTAACGCTGCGGCTAGCCGGCTGGAGGGAGAGTGGGGGAAGTGCACGTCGGCGGAAGGCAGGCTGTGCGGTGATGCTAGCTAGCTCCTCGGCTAAAGGGATAATGCTACGGTTAGCTTGCTAACCAGCAGCTCGAGCTTTGTGTCGATTGGCCGTGCGCTGCCGGGGGAGCTGCTAAGCACAGAGACGAGCCTTCAGCCAGTCCCGAAAAGGGTTCCCCAGCCTCAGGCAGTGAACCCAAACACTGCCCGCACTGCTCCTTACTGGTGGATGTAGCTTGAAATACTTTAAAAGCTAACATTAGCAGCTAGCATCTGTTCTGGAATCTCGCTTGCGAGGTCGTTGAAGCTGCTGATAGTTGAAACTCAATTACAGGCCCACACTGTGTTGACACATCAGTAAATATGTCTTTGCTGGGACTTTCAGTCCACTGGGGACACTGGTTCATTACATGTGCAGCTCAACTTTGCAGGGGGGACCCGTGTGTGTGTGTGGGTCACTGGTGTCTCTTCACTTCGCTGCATCTGTTCACACGGTTCTTCCACCGAGCTGCTAGCCGCTGTTAGCATTGCTAGCTAATAAGAACTACGTCAAATTAAATTCATGCAAACGAACGAGCGATCGAAGTGTTTCATGGCTTGTTTCTGGTGAAGTGTGCTGACAGCTCGGGTTCGGTGATGAATATAACGATGAGTGAGGTGGTTCACGATCACACGGTGGGAGAGTTTAATGTGCTGGGCGCGGGCCGCTGAATTACCGTGGATATTAGATATTGGGTCAATAGATTTTCGGATCCAGGGAAGCCATTTTTCATTAGATTGTTATGATTGTAAGAGCAAAGCAGCTCATGCCTCCGGATGAATGCGTTTTGATGAATGTGTTTGGTGGAATCAGAGGCGAGGGGATTGAGATCGATCAGGTTGTAATTTACTGATGCAAATTCACTTTGTTAAATAATCGTGGTTTTTCATTTCCTATCCCACCTCTGATTATTTATCTGGATCTGAACGAACGTCGATCAAAACAAGGCGCGTAATGTCAAGTAAACCTCTCGACATGTTCTGACCCTGCATACATCTGAGGCTACAATGTCACTTCCTTGTTTCCCAGATATTTCCCCCACATAACGACACGGAGATCATAATAATGCTGTGTTGAAAACATGCTCAGCCTTGCAGCAGAGCACCATCGCTCCACTTCACAACCCTGACAGTTCATTAGTGGATATCGACTGGATGACCTTACCAATATTTTTTAAATTATTAATTATTCCTTCATGTGATGGGACTTCAAATCTGAAACCTCAGCTAAAGTCGAGGAGCAAACCCGATGATAACTGTGGGTGAACATAACACAGATGCTGTGGGGGTGGGATTATGTTGTTGGCCTCCATGTGTTTGTTTTATCACTGTGAGAAAATCACAAAGGCATGAATGACCCATGAAGGATTGGTGCAACAAAGCTGCTCTGAGTAGTGCTCAAGTGCTTAATTGTTAGTTTTAAAAGTGGCTACTACAGAACAACATACTGTAATATTTATTTTCTATAAAGTAATCCCAACAAAGCAGCTATGTAGACAGGGTATCATGGTACATTTATTGTCCCTGAGGGGCGATTTGTCTTACAGCCAGCAGAACAAACACACAATCAGTGGACATATATACAACATAGAAACAACAGAAATATCAAGTGTATAAGTGTATGTTTTATAAGTGTGGTATAGTCCAAAATAATCTTCTGGGGGATTTTCTTTTGTCTGTCCTGTAGATTTTGGAGCTGCACTATCAACACTTGCAAACCATCTTGTAGGTTTATAGTCGTTCTTAAATCAAGACACCGGCCCCCCCATGCCATCGTCGTCATGAGCCATACTGTGAACCAAAGGCCAGAGGCAGTGCATGCAGTTAAGCTCGGCAGTCAATGGTATTATCCTGTGAACTCACAGAAAATTAGATTAGTTAACAGTTTGTCCCATTATGAGACATTATGAGGGTCACAGCTTTAATCCACATCAGCTTCTGTATCCCATGGCTTTTTATTAACCGTAAATCTATAGAGCAAATCACTGAACTCTTACAAGCAGCTTACTGAAGCTATAACTCAAAGCTTATAAGTAACTGTAATGAAGAGCATCTGCTAATTGTCTCACATGGGAAGGTGTTGCTAGTGATTTTACCAGAATGTGTGACAGCTCATCTGTAACATACTGTAGTGAGTGATCTTCAGCCAGTGGCATCTGTTGCTTGGGGGGATCTACAGTTGACCCTGCACTCTGAAATGTCTGTGGTAATACAGAGGCATCTGTGAAAAAACTCAGGGAAGAGAAAAATGTTCCAAAGATTCTGATCAACAGAGTGAATGTTTAAAGGCCTGTGCAATTAAACAGAGAATTGTCCAAGTTTTGAATGTTTTGAGTATGATGGTATGCACCCAGAAAATCTAGTTCAAGGCTTTAACATGTGGTGGTGAGTGCATCCTTGATTATTTTCTTAATTATCATGAGCTGTTTACACAAGCTCACTCAAGTACTGCCCAGATGTTTCCACTAGAGCCAGATGTGAAACCCATCCTTTTTAGACAACTTTGCTTTTTAAAATTATACTATTTGATTCAGCAGGACCATTTAAATAGTAATAATCTAATATTTCAAGAAAACACAAGGTTTATATTTGTTAATTAAATAAAAAGTTGGTTGTGTAAATAATGAAAAAACATCTTCAAACTGTTTCAGTCACATGGTTTGACGAGCTCTAATGTCTCCCATGCAGAAAACATTAACCAAATTCCTCAGGTGTGGTATGTGAGGTAAGTTAAATTACATTCAGGGAAATGTTCAGTGCTCGTGTTAGTTTTCCTGTGCTTGAACGTGGGGTGTTTGCAGGTTTTAATTTTGAAAACAGGTTATTACTGCTCCCCCTGGCAGGATTAGTTAACTCCCCATTCAGCTTTAGCTAGATTGGATTAGATTTTGGGGGGCTGACACTGTTTGGAGGACAGTGACTGATTGGCCAGTGGATGTAAATAGAGGGTGGTATTAGGACACCGGGCCTCTCCCATTGGTCAGTGAATAGAGCGGGTGCTTTCCCATCTGCCTCTTCCATCTCAAGGATAATCCCTCAGAATACCTCCACAGATGTTAACAACAGAATATAAACTGAAGAGAGTGTGCAATGTGCAATTTTAACTTAGAATCAAAAACCTTACAGTCCTGTCGATAAAACCCAGATGGCTACTTTTGATATAGTTTGCTCTGTTTGGATGCTGTCTTTGTATGGTTTTAATAATACTGTGTGTAGGGCTCCCTTTAAATATTTGCAGCATTGTCAATGTTGCAAAATAGATTTCTTGAATAAATGGCAAATTAATAATGACATGTTGTAGATAGACGGTTGACAAAAACCAAGAACTATAATGAATAAAAGTTTGTTAAATTTGACTTTGTTATTTGAAGCAGTAATTTTGGAGAATTGAAGGAAATTATATAAAGAGAAATTCACAGGAATAATAAAATCCTCCACAAGGGGGTGTATAACCTTGGACTTCTTGTGTAGCGCAGACCTGCACATTATTATGAATATTGTATGAGTTGTTTCACATGAAACAGAATTTAAGTGACATTTATGAGAAATTGATGAATCACATTTAATCTAAGCATGAAATGATGATAATATAACATGTTAAAATATTTAATGTACTGTAATTAGACCCTCACTCAATAAAAAAAAAAAAATGTCAAAATTGAAAGTACAAACTGGTACAGGTATGGAGCATATAATGGGCTGTAATAAATTTGTAGATAATATACCACAGTACTTGTGACCCTGATTGATCTGTATATAATGAAAGTGTCTCCTGCAAGTGTCAAAGACACATGATAACTGCATTCAGTTGTCTGTTAAGTCTGTGCCTGTGATAAAGTCAAGTTGGTGGCACAGTGTGGGGAATATTAAGTATGTCTGGGCTTTTTATTAACTGCTCGGCCCCTTAGACTGGATTTCCAGAGGGAGTGAACACTGTTAACACACCTAATGCTCAACTACGAACCCGTGATTCCCCCTCAACAATAAAAAGTAAAATCATCTTTACAAACCAAATTCTTTCCAGATCTGAAGAAAAAGCAGAGTGTTGTTCGATAAAAATTACATTTTAATTTGTTTTATGACAAGAAAACACGTGAGGGCATACAGTGCATGTAGTAGAATTATTATAAAAAAATGAAACACTTATATATTATGATTCAGAAAGTACAAAAATAGATTCTATCATTGATGGAAAACTTGTTCCAGTCCCATTATAATAGTTATATATGTATATTTTTACATATATAACTGAAATCATTAAAGGAAATAACTTGATATACAAATAGGCTATGATCCAATCATTTTGATATTACAATTTTTACATCACCATATCTATATATATAGATATATACATCTCAATGTAAAAGATTATAATATAAATAGTAAAAGAACAAGCAAGCCATTCCAATGCTTTTAATTTATTGAAGAACAGAACAGGAAGTGTTAGCGTAAATGTATCAAGGCTGCTGTATGACTTGTGACGACTTGAGTCTGAACTTGGAAGTTTTTAAGGATGAAATGATTGGGAGTCTAAAAAGATCCATCCAAAACTGTACAGTAATCTAGCATACCAGTGCACGTGTGATTTCTGTCTTTCAGAAAGATGCTTCTCTTCCATCCCCAGAGGTTCACTCAGATTGTCTTGTTTGTCTAAAATATCCTTATTCACATATACATATGCTTTGTCCTTAATGGGAAAAGTGCTACTATGAAATGGAGCTTTATTGCAAGCTGCTTCACTCTCAGGGGTCTGCTGTTCTTTGGTTGTCTCCCCCCATAGTAGCTGATTGAATGAGGAGAGGAGGCGCAGAGGACCAAACGCCCAGTGTGCGAGACTGTGGTGTTCCACCAGCGCATAGTTGGATGCAAGAACTCCATCAACGAACAATGTTCCAGCCTCTGTCAGGGGCGCATACACTCCTATACTCTCCTCTACTGAAACTGAGATGATTCGAGAAGGACGCACACGACCCTCTGCTGTATGGACGAGAACACAGTCTCCTGTTTTGGCTCTGTTAGCAAACAGAGCCTGGTACTCACTGCTGTCGAGTCTGCAGTGGTGAGCTAAAAAGATCAAGTGATGTGCAGTAAGGGCCAATCTGTGGCCATCCTCTGTCTCCAGACACAGAAAAGTAGAACAGCTTTCTTGGTCGCGGTGCAAAAACAAGATGACTTGGCTGAACACGACCTGGCCTGTCCCAGACAGGGCCATGACTCTGTCCCCAGGAGCCAATGATGACAGGCTCTTCTGTCCTCCTCCAGCGACAGTCACCCGGGCCCAGCCTGGGAAACAGCCTCCCTTTTCCACTGCAACGGAGTGATCTGCAGGAGGGTCAGCAGAAAAAAAACACAATTAACAAAAATGATGTTCCTTTTTCTTTTTTTAACTGTCCTGATGCACCATATAGTGATGCATTGACATTTGACACAGTTAACAGCATGATCTTGGTCAAACTTACCAGCTTTTACTGAGCAGTGGATGTGATATTTGGACTCGTAGTGGACCCAGTCAAAGCCAGCCTCCACAGCCAGCTGGGCGAGGAGACCATACTTCTCTGTCTCTCTGTCATCAGTGGTTATGTCCACAGCACGGCCCTCATAGTGCAGAGAGCCAGGAGGATGGTGTCCGTCTTCATCCCAGGCCTCTGTCACACGTAAGTGTACCCCTGGCCACTGGTTCATCACTGCAATAGCCAACCTGTTCAAACAGTCCTTGCATCGCTAGAGCAGAATGAAAAAGAGGAAAGGATTTCATTAGGCAATAGAGTCACCTCATAAATTGGATGATCAACAAGACATTGCAGTACATGTACAAAGAATATATTTGAGGTAATTAAAAAAAGATGTATCTATTGCATACAGCTATTTGTTTACCAGAGAGCTCTGACAATACAACAAAATATTCCTCCCAGTGCACATGGCCACAGTTTTGAATATAATTGAAGAAAAAACAGAAGGTGTATGCTTAACGTTTATGTTTAATTTATGTTAAAAGGGCCAATAAACTTGTATATGATTTATATACTGACTCAAATATCCAGTGTGGGTCAAGTGTAACAATTATTCTAAAGAAAACTACATATGCATACAATTGGGATCCAATAACTGTTTCCAACTTGGTAAAAATCGAATAAGTTATTAGATATTTTGTTAATATTTTTTATTGAAAAAGACTAATGTGTAAATCACTCAAGTAGCAGCTAGCCTTAGATTCAAAAAGGTATTTGAAAAGAGAAATGTATTTAAATTTAGACTCAAACGTGTACTTGAGTCTAATTTATAATTTCTATATGAGTCCATTGTTTTGTCTTTTAAATGTATGTATGTGTGGTTGTAGTTGTTGAATTAGGAGGGTTGAGGACGGAGTCAGGTTTATTCCAGGAGTAAAAATACTGTATCGTGTGACTGTAATTTTCTTTTGTTGTATTGTTGGATGTGTTAGCTTTATAACTTGAAACTGAGAAGAAAATTACAAGAACATTTTTTTCCTGAGGTTAATTAAGATAATTTTATTCACTTCGTCTGCAGCGTGTACAATGTATTGTGAAGGCCTGTCTCAGCCAAACTCAAGTAGAAGTGACAGACACTGGTAATCATTTATTAACAGGGGGAATGGCACTTATAAGTCAAGAGGTATGTACAGTATGCGACTCTACTCTACCTCCGCTCACAGACAAACTTCATTACATCTCAGAAAAACAAATGATGCCAGTACTTCCTCAGCATCTCTGGCTTTATCACACAGTTCCTCCTCTGCTCTGCTTAAGTCTATTTCAACCTTGCTCAAACAAGAACAAAGCTACTGTAGCCAGTTTGCGACATTCCTCTGCCTTTTTCGACAGGGTGACAGAATAATCAAGGCCATTCTCTGACTCTCCAGATTGTTCCAGGCATGAGTTTCTCGTCTTCACCCCTGAGACCTTTGATGAGAAATGCGCACAGTGACTCTTAACACCCCCCGTGGGCCGTAATATTACAGACTGTGTCAGCATTGTCACAAAATAGCAGGCAGAGAAATGACAAAGTCAGCATCCGAAGTGATACAGTCATCAGCATCTCCTGAACGTGTATTCGCTTGACTTGTGATGTGGCCTGTAATTGATTGAGTAAAGCTTATCTTGCAGCTGAGTTAGAAAAAGAGGCTTTTGAGAGAAAGTGACAGGAGTGTGAGAGAGATGGAGAGAGGGGAAGTAGGGTGAGAAGAAAGCAGTTTAGAGAGAGAGTTGAGGTTGGGACTAAAGACAGAGGCCAGAGGGGAAGAATGTATGGGCATGAACTTGGGAATGTGACACCGAGAGTGAGAAAGCGAGAGAGACAGAAAACAAACTGGGAACATTTTTCTCGCAATGCCATTGAAGAGAGGCGTTTCATTGTCAGAATCACAATAGTCGCCTTTCCAACGGTGCCATTACTTCAGCAAGCGAGAATTTTGTATAGGCGACCCCTCCGAGTCTCCAAGTGACGCACAATGAGTGTCTTTCACATCTGGGCAAAAGAAGGGCACATGCACACATACACACACTCATACTGGGCATCAGAAGGGCACACACATAAAACCGCAGATTTACATCGCAAAAAAATCACTCGGAAAAAGGAAGGAACACAGATTTTATAATCCTGAACAATCACAGAAAGCCGCAGCATCCGAAACAGAGTGACCCCAGTGGCATTCAAAATGTTTTCTCCAAAAAGTCCTTCATCTCCCTGACCAGATCTTAAATCCTCTCGGCCACCGATTGTCTTTTCTATGCACGATTTTTAAATTCAGCTTCCTGTCCCAAATAAACAATCAAGAGCTCAAGTGCAAGTGCCATGCCTGGGTAATTTTTCTCGGCAGGCACACTGTGAACCTGCCATAGGAATAGTTTTATTTCCAATAACAAAGACTTTGGTTAAAGATTAAAAGGAAGTGTTCCTGGAGGAGAGCTCGGTCTCTTAAGGGGTAGTGTTGAATTACATCCTGATCTTCTTATCTCAAGAAAAAGGGAGGGGAAGTTTGGTTAAAACATACACACTCTGTGTTGAACATTTGTTTGTGTGTTCAGAGCCTGGAAAGGGCAGGCAGTGAAGAGTACAGCGAACAATGAATGAGGTTATTGGTTTAGTTTTTGTGGGGGGCAATGCTCCTTATGCAGAGTAAACTGATGTCTGTCCCTTCATGTAAATGCCGTTTATCAATCATCTGGAAAATGAAACAATGAGAGCAACATTAACAGTCTGTGCACTGGTTGTCTATTTATTGATCGTACCACACAAGAATCACCAGGTATCACTTGGGTTTATGGAAACAGGTGATCCAGCAAACCATCCCTTTCAAATCAATCCTTCAAATCTTAGATAACTGAACTCTACAACAACACCACAGTCTCACCTTGGTCATGAAGCGGTCAGCGTTGGTGTTCTCCTCATCCTTGAAGACAATGTCTGGATTGTAGTTGCACACAAGTTCATTGAAGTGCTCTGAGTTGCGTGTGATCTTGCCCTCTGCTCTCCCGCTGGCCCCGAGGTTGTTCTCTGAGAAGTTGGGGAAGAACTGCTTGTAGTGCATGGCCGTGAGCTTCCTGGGCCTGGGGCGTATGCCGTACCCAGGACCCGGTCCACATCCCTGCACCAGCCATATACAGGTCCAGGCGGCGAGCAGGCCGGGCTGTGCCAGGCGGGCCCACCGGGACTGCTTCATTGGGGGGGAGGGTTGGGGCTCCCAGGGGTCAGTGGCTCACAGTGCCTACAGTGACAGCCCAGGTCCAGATGTGTGATAGCATGTGAATGAGGATCAGAGCTCGGTCCATTCCAGATCATGGAGTATTGGTGATATTATTTTTAAAATCACAAAAACTTACTAAACATTGGAATTCGTTGGAACTTCTTTTGACAGTTTTCACCCTCTGATCAGAATAGAAGAGTTCAACAGTCCTGCGCGCTGGAGGTCATCTCTACACGCGTCCTCCACAGCAACCTGTCTGTGCACAGGTGTTCTTTCAGGGTTTCTGCTCACTTACCGCTTCTCTCTCCAAGCACTTCCCCTCACCAGACACACAAAGTGGCGCACGCCTGAAGCCCGTCGGCTCCCTCCCTGACTCCCCGCAGTTCCTACACGCACACTCCTGTGGACGCTCTCATCCTCTTTGTTCATGCATAAAAATGAGTTGTGTTGTTTTTTCCCCCTCCTTCTCTCCTTCATCCACCGTCTTCTGTCGCGTCCCAGCGCTCCTGGCCACCTTGCACCAGCCATTGGGTCTTATTAGTGTCCGGACGAGATTGCCCTCCCTTCCTCTGCGCGCTCCCACTGCGACAAGCACACGCCTCCAAAATTCAACCTTACAAAGGACGTATGATTAGCCTACTTATGTTAACACAATGACCCCCCCACACCCCACACCCCACCCCAACCTCCATCTCCACCTCATTAAAATCTAGAAGAAGGCTAAATACTATTCTTCCACTGCAAGGTTAAATCAATGCAACTGCTCATCATACATTTTCTAATTTGATGGTTTTGATTTTAAGTATTATCTTAATAATAACAACAATTATTTGTATTATTATTATTATTATTGTTAATATTATAACGAAAATTCTATTTATGGCACCTTTCAAAACCATACAAAATGCTTCCCAGAGGACAGACCAAACAAGACAACAAACATCAGAGACAACCAATGACATAATACAAATTCTAAAACCAAACACAGCTAGATAAGTTAATACAACATCAATTTAAATTATAGACAAAGGAGAATTGTAAAAAAAGAAAAGAAAAGATAAGTAAAAGTTAAAGCCATGCTGTAAAAGTACATTTTGAGAGATGATTTCAAAACAGACAGTCACATTCCTCAGGTTCCTCAACTATTCCAGAGGGTCGGCATCCTGACAGCAGAGGCCCCGTCACCTTTGGTCTTCAGTCTTGACCGCGGAATATCTAACAAGGCCTTATCAGAAGATCTCAGGGTGAGGTATATGCAGAACATATTTTATATAGTTCCAGTTGTAAAAAGTGTATCATATCAGAGGTGAATATATTTTTACCATTGCTTCTGTTTGCTCATCCCACCCATCAGAGTAGACGAGTCAACTGTGATGACTGTGTGTTATTAATAGACAGAGTTTGAGGTGAGGGTCTCTGAGAGGGAGCACAAGTGTCCAGCCTTGACACCCCTGACTGTGACTTACAGTGCTGCCTTCCTGTGTTTGGGGAGCCAGCCTGACCCCCCTGAACCCAGTGCACCCGAGACCCCTCCGCTGGAAACACCCTCCGGCCACATCAACATATTATTTTTATCCATCTCAGAACAATAGCTGGGAGAGTCGTAAAAATGAGTCAGATAATACCAAAGAGGGAGCAAAGAAGAGAAGTAATCCTTGTGTCTCTGGGGTCTGACATGTGTAATCACATACGGAAGCTTAAATTAATGACGGTATAAAGGTCGTCGTCGTGTGTTACCATCCTATCTCCAGCTTCCTGGAACACTTGAGGTCTCAATACATCACAGCCAGTTCCTTCACAGTCACTTTGTTTCAAAGAAACTTTATCACACTCACAACAGAGCTGCTCATCTGGAGTTTATAGTTTTGCGTCAGTGTATATCATGATGGTTTGCTTTGGCTGCATCCTTAAGATGCTTTCTGAATATATCACTGTCAGGGAAGACACTTCTTATCCATAAAGCACCTGTGAATTTATCATCGACTCCCTGATCCAAACAGTTCTTACAATTTTGCTTAGAGGGATGACAAATAGGTCACAGAGCTCCACAGTGACCATGGAAAGGCATCCATGTTAGGGAAGTTTCCAGAAGATCCCAGGATGTTGTAGGGAGGGGTGGCAAGGCGAAGCTGCATCTTCCTGCCCTCATGATAAACACGGAGGACGGCTCAAGTCCGGCCAAAGCAACGCAGATGGAAGATATCAGCCCTCATGACAAATGCAGGGAATGACTCAATCAAAAAAAGCAACAAACACTTTCATATCTACAATTACCCACACCGACATTTCTCTTCAAAGCCGCACAAGAGAAGAGATTTTCATCCGACATGAAAGGGAAAGGAAGGAAGCAAACATCTGCGGGTTGGAGATGGAAATAAAGTCATTATTATTAGTTTTTATTTTGGTGCCCCTGTCCCCCTGCCTTCCCCTGCCTCCTTCTGGCTCTTAGCATTTTACTCCCCCATTTCAGGATGGGAGTACATGGCTGGATGAATGGTTTGGTTTCCTGCAAAGCCACAGCACAGAAAATGAGATCTTTCCTGCCTGAGTTACACTACCCTGCTTTGTTCTGTACAAATGGACGGCTGTGGGTACACCTGAGAACTGCGTCATATACCGTTTGTACCTGTGAGTGAAATGTTACTTTGTTTGTGAAGGCTCGGGGGGGAAAACAGAACTGGCTCATGTTCAGCAAATTCTGTTCATAATCAAGTGCAGCGAAATATGAATTTAGGATTGAAAGCTCATACATTTATTATGGTATATAAATTTGATTTTGAAAGAACTCCGGCTCTGACACCTCAAGTGTTTGTCTTGTCTCGTGGAGCTGAATAGACACTCTGCAGGATCCACTTCCTTAGATGGAGGCCGTTGGAAGGGAAAAGGAAAGTCAAGGAACTGACACCTAACCACCTCCCTCCCCGCTCCCAAACAGACACAATCACCAACCCGTCCTTTCTCTTTGACCACCGCTGCTGTACCGCCCAGCCCACTGTCTCCCAACGTGTTATCAGCACAGGAAGAGGCAGGGTGGTGCATTCTGATGGCTGCAAACACTGGATGATTCTAGCCCCATGTAGTTTAATTCTGCGTCGTAACCATACCTTACATGATACACCCCACACTGCATGTCATGTGCTGATTTCAGGTCTGCCACATGAAGTGATGTGAAAAGGGAAAATAGAGATGTTGGGTCCAGAGGTTGATCGGCCTTTGAAAGTGAGCACCAGTCGAGGCGATGCTGCACTGAAGTGGACAATAGACTCAGCAGGGTGGAACTTCCTGGCCACAGACAAGCAGGTCAAACGTCAAATATGATGTTTTACCTTCTTTTGGGACAAAATATTATTTACATTGTCTATATCACATTATGTATCCTTGAATGGGTCTCTATCGAAATTACTTAAATTGTGAGCTTACAGGTTTCTTCCTTTAAGTCCATGTCACATCATTCGCCCAGACCCAGTGAAGCAAAGGCCTGTGCCAATCAACCGTGTGAAGCAAGTGTGCCGTGAGTGTGCAGGCAGGATGGCGGGCAGCTGCGGCAAACGGACAGTATAACCCATTATCAGTTGATTAGCGAGCAAGTCTCGCCTTTTCCTGTGAGTGTTTCTGTATTTGCGAGCATAAAACGAGGGAATAACAGCCCCTAATGCTCTTTGGCATGAACTTCAAACAGCAGACTGTCAGGAAAGCTAATCTGTGTCTTTGTCCCCCCTTCATTCTTATGTTTTGACAATAAAGATAGCCTATCTCATCCCATTACAAGCTGCCCGTCTCCCGCCTTGTCCCTGATATGCCCGACAACCACTCCAGCAGAGCGTGTTACCCAATGGGACTGCTGGGACACCTTGATTGCACTGCTATCAACCCTTTAATATTTTGCTGCAGGGAGAGGTGCTGGACCATTGTTTCTCCAACAGAATCTGAGGTTAAGAGTGATATTATGGGGGGGCTGTGGCTCAGGAGAGAGAGCGGGTCGTCCACTGTGTCAGTGGTTTGATCCTGAGTCAGTGTACCGAAGTGCCCATGAGCAAGACACTGAACTCAGAATTGCTCCTGACGATCAGTGTGTGAGTGATGTGATGAAGTGCAACAATTAAAAGTGCACTGTATAAATGAGTGGGTTAATGGTTGAAAGGTAAAAACTGTACTGTTAAGCACTTTGAGTCGTCATCAAGACGAGAAAAGTGCTTTAGAAATACGAAATGTTGGTGGCTTTACTGTGTTTGTGTGTTCAATGTGCCTTTATAGAGCAACATTGTCAATTTTGGCTTTATTTGCTCAAATGAGGCAAAAAATTGAATCCACCATCAGCTCAAATTGTGCACAAATCCTGCAAAAACAGAACCCAGAGGGTTGGATGGACAGACAGACAGACAGACAGAGACAGACAGATGGACAGACGGACAGACAGACAGACAGACAGACAGACAGACAGACAGACTCAGTAGCCTTGTTTCTTTAAAGTCGAGGAGCATTTCAATTTTAGCAGTGGCCGATTGGACTTTGTGCATTGGCAGGTTTTCTTATTTTACTAGAGGTGTGTATTCACTTAGCATCACTCACCAAAACAAAAGTTTTAGTCTATATATGCTTTTCAACTCAATATTGTGTGTGAAAGTATAAATTGAATTTACAATTGTTTTTGCCCTCTGAACCAACAACTGTCAGCATCACTCTGAGTTTGTTCAAATTTAATTTACTGTACAAAGACTTCCTCAGAGAGAACCCAGTCTCCAGATGTGCGAGCGATGTTGCGTCGACATTTGAGTTCATTTCCTTTTGGCAAAGGAAACGCAGTGCAAAACAAAACCTAAAGCAAATAAGCTCAATTAAAACATCCAACAAAACAAGAAACGCAAACAAAAATCAAGAGGGAGAAATTAATCAGAGCCGGGGGGTTTCTTGAGCTGACTTCAGAAATGAGGAAATCAACAATAGGCAAGGAAAAGGGATGGAAGAAAGGAGGTGGGTGGGTAGGTGATGAGGTGAAGGAGTGAATGTGAGTGAATGTCTCTTCTCCTCCTAATTTGCTGGGTTTTTATCTGGCGCTTGCATCAGAGTGGGGAAAGCGTGGGCTACGGCTGTAGTGGCGTCGTGGCTGGACACTGCTGACAGACAGGCCAAAATATGGCTTTCTTCTGCTGCTGATTAAAGAAGTGCAACAAAAGGGTGGAGGGATGCAGAGGACAGATGCCCTTCACCAGTCACACACACCCACCACATCAGATCACTCACGACGTAGCTACATTTCTCTACAATTGTAACAGCATCAAAGAAACTGTAAAAGTCAGCGTGATGTGTTTCCCAAAGGACACAAAGACGTTAAAAACACAGACATTTTATTGCTTTCTCCTCATAAAACAATGATGGTTAAAATTTCAGTTTTAAGAAAATCTGAAACATCAGAGCATTTCGTAAGTAAACACATTATTTTTTATATCTTTGAGAACTACTCTAAAGATTTTTTGTCTCAACTGTATCACATTCAAAGTTTTTAACACTTGTTAAAAATCCTAAGAGTAATAAGTCAACATTATTGATCCCAAAATGCCCATAAATAATGATAAAAATACAACACATCATA